ATTTTTTTATTAATATTAAATTTAAACAGTAAAACTTCGAATTAAAAATCAATTTATTAAATTTCATACATCGTGATTATTATGCTTTCTTGATCACTATTTAATCTTTATGCATGATCATTGTGCTTGCTTGAGTACTATTTAACTTTATATGTGATTGTTATGCTTGCTCGATCACTTTTATAGTAATCCTTATGCATGATCATTATGCTTGCTTAATCGCATTAATTTTTATACATGACTATATGCTTGTTTAACGCTATATTATGTTAATTTGATTATTGTGCTTTTAATAATTACTATGTGTTATATATATGCAATCATTTTATGTGATTGTTATATACTGTTATGTAAAGATTGTTAATATAGCAGGTGATAATAAATAAAATATAAATAAAATATATAAACAGAAAAACTATACTTCTTAAAAAAGCATCAAACTTGAGTATTAATAAAAAGATCGTATATTCAATATCTTCATTTTCTTTTAACAACTAATCTGTTATTAAAACACTTTTCTAATTTCGAACAATGATATCTACAACTAGTATGCGCATACTAGCTCCGGTATAGTTGTTTTTTGATCCTTTTATCGAAGATGAATTGGGTAAAAAAAAGCTAGATGTAAGCAATACCTACTGTAGGAGACTATTATCTTACTATAAATAATAGTGGTACTTCGAATTTGTATAGCCATGTTATCAATATTCACAAAATTAGCATCTCAAGCATTATTGATCCTGAAGAGTTAGCTGCTTTATTTCCTCAGTCTGGTAAATATCTTCTTAGAGAAACATTGGTTAAGTGGATTGTAAAAGATAGCCTTCCATTTACTACCATAGAATCAGAAAGTTTTTATAAACTATTTAAAGTAATTAGAAAGTTAGAAAGTAATATTACGATTCCATTTGCAAGAACAATTAAAAGAGATCTATTAGAACATTACTTGGTGTCAAAAGCTTTATTAAAAAACATACTAGAAAATAACTCAAGTAAGATTTCACTTACTATAGACATATAGACTAGTAATAGCTATAAGGCTTTTTTAGGAGTTACGGTCTACTAGCTCGATAATAACTGAGAAATTCAATGCCATGTACTTGATTTTGTACTATTCGAAGAACTGTATTCGGAAACAAATATAGCAGATAAGTTAATAAGAATTTGCAAAGAATTTGGTATTACCCATAAAATACTTGGTATAACAGTTGTTAATACTTCTAATAACAATACATTTCTTGAAGCATTTGAATCATATTCTATAGATATTAGTGGTTTCTTTACTAAGCGACAAGACCATGTTCAGTGTATCACCCATATCATTAATCTTGCTTTGCAAGATTTTTTATCTTATTTACATTCTGAGACACTAGATCAAGAAGATGACAACCTTAATATTTTAGACCAAGTTCATATCTCTAATACTTCTCAAGTTCAAACAATTATAAAACTTCGTAAGCTTATTAAAAAATTTCAGCGTTCACCCCAATGTCATCAACAGTTAAATGAAGTATATAAATCTCTTAACATACAATTTAAGAGTCCAGTTCTTGACTCAAAAACATGATAGAACTTGACCCTGGATATGATTGAATAGCCTATTAATATAGCTCCAGCAATAAATCAAATAGTTAAAGAAGTTCCTAAGCTAAGTACATTTGGTCTTAAAAATCAGAATAGAAAATGTTAGGTAAAATTTCATTACCATTAAAAACTTTTCGTGATATATCTGAGGCAATATATGGTGAATTATATATAACAATCACTGGTCAAAATTTTTTAATATAAAAGACTGATATTTGAAAGATAGCTAGATGAAACATCTAAAAACAAACATTCAAATATCATATAGATGATATAAATATAAATAATATAATCAATGAAATATCAGCTTAAAATCATAGAAAGATATAAAGATGTTATA